TAACTGAGATACAAATGGATTTCAAACCAGAAATATTTCTTTTGGGCATAATAAATTTAAAGATGGAAAAACAACTCCAACACATCATTATACACATATTGACTGCAGCTCGTATAGCATATGCGCAATGTTGGAAGAGTGAAAATATTCCCACAAATGATATGATTATGTATAAAATTTTGGAATGCGCAGAAATGAATAAACTTACGTTAGAACTAAAAGACAAGGAGACGTCAGAATTTTATGAAATTTGGAATAAATGTTATAATTGGCTAGAACAGAGAAAGAAAAAGATATAATTATTGATGTATATAAAATGTAAATAAGATGTAAAGAATATTTAAAATGTAAAGCACTGTTCTGTTAGAAGAAAAGATTTATGTTTATGGAGTTTTGGTGTATGGTGTATGGTGAAAAATAAAAAAAAATAAAAAAAATAAAAAAAAAATAAAACAGCTTTGGAGGGATTGGGGACCAGAACTGATGGCAGAACTGTAGAAATATTTTCTACAAAGCATCCTCTAAAAAGGTATTTAATTCTTCCTCTACTGGTCTGAAATGGCCCTTTATATCTTGGGAGGAAAGATCAAATATTGAGAGCAGCTTCAGTTTTCCTTTTCTCCCTTCCACACCCGACGGAGGATGAGAAACAAGAGATTCTTTCCTGAGCCGCTTTGGAAGAGGGATCTTGCGAGAGGCGGCTCTCTCTCCAAGCTCCAAGGAAAAAATTACGAGGAATTTACAGCTGCAGTTTCAACATAAGTTTGGCAATAAGTCTGGCTTTTTGCTGCCTCCCAACTGAAACCGTACCCTCTCGCATGCCTCCAGCAGCGGACCTTGTGAATTTCACTTCCCTTTGTGAAAGTGAAAAGTTGAACAAGTGAAAAGCACTCCTGTTTATCCTGCCTCTGAGCAGAAAGATGCGGAGAACTGCTCTCCGGGATCTCAGGGCCCATCCACACCATCGGAGAAAATCGTGGATATGCGGGCAAAGCGTGGTGATGCTGTCTTTGCTCCAAAGCAGACCGAACGAGAGCAAAAACGAGCAGAGGCGCTCGCTGTAACGACGGGGTGGGTGGCTCCTCTGCCTTTGCAGCGGTAGCGCAGCTTCACCCTCCTAATAAGCAAAGCTACACCACGAACTGTATTAGTGTAATTGGGTTACAGCCGCTCTGGCAACGGAAATCTCGCAGGGCTCTTCTGAGTCCTTTCGCATTTCCTTCGCCGCATCTTACTAGCCTCCGTGTTTTCCACCTTTTCTTTAGCCGCCCAACGAGAAGGGAGAGCTGCCAGCTTAGAGACTGGAGCTCAGCAGCACTCGCCTCCGCCTCCCTCCGCAGGCAACCTCCGCCCTACTTCGCCTAGGCGGGGGATGCTACTTGAGCTCCTGACTGCCCTTGACACCAATCCTTCGCAGCGGGAGGAACAGCAGCCGCAACAACAAAAGCAGTCAAGGACAGGTCGGGTGACCGCGAGCTTTTTCCCGCTCCTCCTCCTCGACCTCCGGTTGAAGGCAGCTTCAGACCGGCTGCACAAAAGGCCCCTCAGCCTCCTGCCGCCTCCTCCTCCCCCCGCTGCGGATCACGTCACGGGAAATAAATAAATAATCCCATTCAGCCAGTGACAGGGAGCAGGAACCGGCGCGGCGGCGGCGGCAAGCTTAGAGCCAAGAGCCAACCCAGCCCAAGCTAGAGAAAGAGGCAAACGAAGCCAGGTAACGTAAAAGAGATCCATGCAGGGGGTTGTTTAAGGCAAAACCTTTCCCCCTTGGCGCAGCTTGGGAAGGGGCGGCTGGGATAGAGGCAAGGGGCGGTAGCAGCAGCCTGCTATTTGTTTATTTCTAGCCAAGCGTGCCCGTTGCCTACGCTTCGTGTTTCTGACTCTGCTTCTAAAATGCTGCTGACCTCGGAGTGCGTGCCATTATATAGGAATGTTATGACCTGTCTGGCCGCCGTTTCCCACCCCAGGCACGGAAAGCAGAGAAGAGTGTCCGGTTTGCTACCTCGCTACTGCTGCTGCGGTTGGAGCGCGTTGCTTTGGATTGGTAGGCAGCCCCCCCCCTTCACCATGTGGATGCCTCCCTCACGGGCCGCCTTACTTGGCGTACGTGTGGGAGAAGTTCTAGTGAACGGTTGGCAAGCCGAAGGACTAAGGCGGCCACAAAGTTGAATGAACAAACAAACCCTCAAATCTTACCACCACCTCCGGCACTTGCAGAACTGCTTGCCCTTGGACAGGGGAGGTAAGCGCATAAACCCCACCTCCTCCCCCTCCCATTTGATAGATGACCAGAGATGCCCCAGTGACTTGAGAAGTTGGTAATCGCCCCTGTAGACAAAAATACCTTAGGCAGCGTACACGCAAGTTCACGTTTTTTTCCCCCACCCCGCCCCAGACATCACGCTATGGGGAGATACGGGAGCTTAGTCGAGGACCCTCTTGTTCCAGGCCGTCACCCACCGAATTTCAGATTAACGTCCTTCCCCTTCCGACGCCGCAACATTTTGCAGCCGAATCCCTTGTGCTAGGAAACTAACAAAACTAGTTTTACCTCTATAAGAGGCCACAGCCTCTAGCATTAATATTACGTTTCCCTCCACCCGGACCTAAAAGCAGCCATCTTGAAAGCAGTTCTGAACGGGGCTTCAATTCTACTGGGATAAGCACCGCAGATTGTTTAGGGGAAGGTGGCGAGGCCGGCGCACGCTGTCGTGCATACCTCTGGGGCCTGTCCGTTAATTGTGCGCTTCCGCAGGACCAGGACTAAGGCGGGACAGGAGCAGCCGCAGCATCACGCGTCCTGTCTCCGTATCCAGTTCGTTGCACAGCCCGGCCCTTTTCCTCTCCTCTTCAAATCCGGGAGAAACCGGTTAACTGAGATGTGTGTGTGTGTATGTGTATTTCTGTCCAGGCCGACGTGTATTGAAACTGTTTGCTTCTGCTTGGCTTTAGTCCTCATCAGTCCCAGGGTGGGTGGGTGGCAGAGTCTCGGTACCGGAAATCTTCACAAACGTGTGATTTGGGCCTCGAGCGGTCAATTCTTGTTTTCAGGCCCCACCTCGGACTTGGCCAATGAGAAACGCGTGGAGGCGGCCCAACTGAAAGGCACCCTCTTGATCCATCTATGGAGGGAGGGATGCCATGAGATGGGGTCTTGACTGACTTGCTGTCGCCGGTTGGTTCTCGCTGGTTTGGAAGCCATCTGAGGCCACGTGGAGTGCTGCTGAACAGCTGGGATCGCTGTCAGCCAGCGAACATCAAGGGTGTTCTGTTCTGGGATGGTGAGGCATTGAGGAGACTGAAGGTTAAGTAACAACTCTTTTATTGAATCAACACACAAGCAGCTCTAACAGCGCTTGACTCTTATTTATACCGGACTGCCACTAGGCGGCAGCCAATCAGTTTAAAACACTATTTGCCGCCTAAAGTGCAGGCTTGTTACAATACACAAAGGTTAGAGCCTTATTTAAACATAATCATGTAACTGCTTTATAACTGCCATTATAAAAAATGGGTTAATACACAACACCCCTTCCCCCTAAGTAATCACATATCACAATAATGAATGTAGTCTCGTAAGTAGGCTGGTGGGTTTCACACCTGCTCCAATCGTCGCAGCGCCGTCGGAGGCCCCTGGTCTACCAGCCCTTTTGATAAGCTGGGTAGACCAGGGTTCTTAGAGCCGCTCACCCCAGGTAGACTGGTGCTTCCCTGGACTTTCAGGCTGGGTGGACTGGTGCCTCTCAGAATGTCCTGGCTGGGTAGACCAGTTCCTCTCGGAATGTTCTGACTGGGTAGATTGGTTCCTCTCGGAATGTCCTGGCTGGGTAGACCAGTGCTCGTGTCACCCACTGACAGTCTGGAAACAAGTCCGTCAACAAATCCCTTTCTGTTGACATAGTCTCTGCAGTTTGTGGTGACTCAGACAAGGATAAGTCACCTTGCCTCTCTCTGTTAGTTTCACAAAAATCAGGGGACTCAGGTGTGTTGCAGTCACCTGGCACCCCCCAGCTCTCTTCACTATCAGCGGTCAGGGTTTGATTAGCCTGCCACCGTCGCAATTGGTCGATGTGGCACCGAACCACATGACCATCTTTCAAGGCCACCTCATATGACTGGCCCTGACACCTTACAAAGCACAGCTACCACCCACGGTGCCCCTTGACCATAGTTCCTTGCCCAAACTTTGTCACCGATTTGCAGATTCCGCGGGGGCTTGGGTTGTGCTATCTCCGCAGCTGCCCGGTCCGGATGGAGACGGTCCAGCTTAGTGGTCAGCCGACGTCCCCATCTCAGTTCTGCAGGGCTGCAGCCCATTGAAGTGCACGGAGTTGTGTGTTGGCAGACCAAAAAGTCTGCCAGCTAATGCCAATCACCAGTGGTTATTCTTTTTAACACTTCCTTGGTCGTCTGACAATACGTTCTGCTTGACCATTTGAAGCAGGGTGAAAGGAGGCAGAGGTAGCATGTCTAATCATGTTAGTTCGTAAGAAGGACTGAAACTCAGCAGCAGTGAATTGTGCCCCGTTATCAGACACAATCACATCAGGCAAACCATGCGTGGCAAAGATTCTGCGCAGTTCCTGGATGGTCCTGGCAGTAGTCATAGTAGGGACAAGTGCTATCTCAAGCCACTTAGAGTAACTGTCCACTGCAATGAGGAACACCTGTCCTTGGAAGGGTCCTTCATAGTCTATATCAGGGGTAGGCAACCCAAAACACTCAAAGAGCCACTTGGACACGTTTCCCACCGAAAACAAAACACTGGGAGCCGCAAAACCCTTTTGATATCTAAAATGAAGATAACACTGCATATATCCTTTTTTTACCTTTATTATAGGTATGTGTGTGTGTGTGTGTTTGTGTGTGTATATATAAAATAAAGGCAAAAAGGATATATGCAGTGTTATCTTCATTTTAGATGTCAAAAGGGTCTCTCTTTCCTCTCTCTCTCTTTCTCTTCTCTTTCTTTCCTCTAACTTTCTCTCTTTCCTCTCTTTCTGTCTCTCTCTTTCTCTTTCCTCTTTCTCTCTTTCTCTTTCCTCTAACTTTCTTTCTTTCCTCTCTTTCTCCTCTTTCTTTCCTCTTTTCTTCTCTTTCTCTTTCCTCTTTCTCTTTCCTTTCTCTCTTTCCTCTTTCTCTTTCCTTTATTTCTCTTTCCTCTCTTTCTCTTCTCTTTCCTCTTTCTTTCCTCTCTCTCTTTTCTCAATCTTTTTTCTTTCCTCTTTTTCTCTTTCCTCTCCCCCTCGCTTTCTTTCTCTCTTTCCTTTCTCTTTCCTCTCGCTCTTTCTCTTTCTTTCCTCTCTCTCTTTTCTCTCTTTTCTTTCTCTTTCCTCTTTCTCTCTCTTTCCTCTCTTTCTCTTCTCTTTCTCTTCTCTTTCTTTCCTCTCCCTTTCCTCTCTTCTCTTTCTCTTTCCTTTCTCTTTCCTTTCTCTTTCCTTTCTCTCTTTCCTCTTTCTCTTTCCTTTCTCTCTTTCTCAATCTTTTTTCTCTTTCCTCTTTTTCTCTCTTTCCTCTCCCTCTTGCTTTCTTTCTCTTTCTTTTCTCTCTCTTTCCTCTCCCTTTCTCTCTCTCTTTCCTCTCTTTTTCTTTCTTTCCTCTCTTTCCTCTTTCTCTTTCTCTCTTTCCTCTCTCTTTCTCTCTCTTTCTCTTTCCTTTCTCTTTCCCTCTCTCTTTCCTCTCTTATCTTTCTCTTTCCTCTCTCTTTCTTTCTCTTCCTTTCCTCTCTCTTTCCTTTCTTTCCTCTTCTCTTTCTCTTTCCTCTAACTTTCTCTCTTTCCTCTCTCTTTCTCCTCTTTCTTTCCTCTTTCTCTCTTTCCTTTCTTTCTCTCTTTCTTTCCTCTTTCTCTTTCCCTCTTTCCCTTTCCTCTTTCTCTCTTTCCTCTATTTCTCTTCTCTTTCTCTCTTTCCTCTTTTTCTCTCTTTCCTCTTTTTCTTTTTTTCCTTTCTCTTCTCTTCCTCTCTTTCCTCTAACTTTCTCTCTCTCTTTCTCTCTTTCCCCTCTTTCTCTTTCCTCTTTCTCTTTCCACTTTTTCTCTTTCCCTCTCTCCTCTCTTTCTCTTCTCTTTCTTTCCTTTTTCTCTCTCTCCCTCTCCCTCCAGGTTAGGAGAGAGAGAGAGAGAATGAAAGGCAGATGGCGCCGAACGAGTGGGGAGAGCAGGACGGGAGGCAGCAGCTCCCAGTCGCCCATCGCTTCTTCAACCAAACGGGCAGGGAGGGGGAGCAGGATGGGAGGCAGCAGCTCCCGGCCGCCCCCCCATCGCTTCTTCAGCCAAACGGGCATGGAGGGGGAGCAGGACGGGAAGTAGAAGATCCCGGCTGCCCCCCCATCACTTCTTCAGCCAAACGGGCAGGGAGGGGGAGCAGAACGGGAGGCCGCAGCTCCCGGCAGCCCCCCCATCGCTTCTTCAGCCGAACGGGCAGGGAGGGGGAGCAGAATGGGAGGCAGCAGCTCCCGGCCGCCCCCCATCGCTTCTTCAGCTGAACGGGCAGGGAGGGGGAGCAGAATGGGAGGCAGCAGCTCCCGGCCGCCCCCCATCGCTTCTTCAGCCGAACGGGCAGGGAGGGGGAGCAGGACGGGAGGCAGCGGCTCCGGCGGCAGCCACTGCAGCATCGTCGGGGTCCCCGCCGCCGCCCCCGGCCCGGCCGCCGCCCCCGCCGCATCCTCAGCCACTTCGCCGTCTTAAGAGGAGGGCGCCATGGCCGGGTGCACCA